TTGACGATATTGAATCGTGCCAGAACGCCATTCTTGGGACTTGAACACCGCGAACCTACATAATCTGTACACCATAAGCCAGAATCCTTCCCAAACACCATATATGGTACATTGATCATGGGGATCCGTGAAATTCTTGCAACTGTTTAAAACGAGTGCCCGCGGCGCTGAGGCGAGAGCCACAGTTTGAACAGAAACCGCCCTATATCCGTGAAACGCTTGCAAATGTTCAAGACGAGTGCGCGCGGCGCGAAGGCGAGAGCCACATGTTGAAAACCATTCGCCTTCAATCCGTGAAGCTCTTGCTGCACATGTTTAAAGACGAGTGTGCGCGGCGCTGAGGCGAGAGCCACATTTTGAAAACCCCTCGCCCTCAACGCGTGCAACTCTTGAAAATGTTTAAGACGAGCATGCGCGGCGCTAAAGCGAGAACCAATGTTTGAAAAGGATCCGCCCTCAATCCGCGAAGCTCTTGCAATTTTTAAGGCAAGGTGCGCGGCGCTAAAGCGAGAGCCACATGTTGAAAACCATTCGCCTTCAATCCGTGAAACGATTGCAAATGTTCAAGACGAGTGTGCGCGGCGCTGAGGCGAGAGCCGCATGTTGAAAATGGCCCGCCTTCCTTTGCGAAACTGTTGCCAGTTTTTAGCTTCCGAGTCATAAGTGGTGAGGAAGTCTCAGGCGAAACGCCCATCCCGCCCTAAAAACTGGCCCCGGGGTGCGACAGGGAGAATTTCTGTATAAGGAGAAGGAGTGAAGCAGGAGGAGGAGGAGGAGGAGGAGGAGGGCGAGGGTGAGGGCAGGGGAGGGGAGGTCGTCTTCCTTCTCGTGGCTCACACCACGCGCCACATCACGGTTTCTCTGGTTTGTGCGGTACGCTGTGAGGTGTTGCGCTCTCCACCCGCCCAGACGGCCCTGGCTTGAGCGACCTCATCACGTCGACGTAACAAGGAAAGTGCGCCAGTGGATCTCCCTGGGGGGAGGGGGGGTCCAGAACCCCCTCCCCCTCCCCCCCTTCAAGGATGCTGGTGAGTAGGGAGTGGTGAGTAGTGAGTAGTTAGTGAGTGCGTAGTGAGTGGTGGGTACTGGGTAGTGTAGGGTGTACTGATAAGTGAAAAGTGAGTGGCGAGAAGTGAGTAGTGAGTAGTGAGTAGCGAGTAATGAATAGTGAGTACCGAGTAGGGCGTAGGGAGTAATGAGTAGTGGGTAGGGAGTAGTGGGTAGTGAGTAGTGGGTGGCGAGTAGTGATTAGTGAGTAGTGAGTAGTGGGTAGTAGTGCGTAGTGAGTAGTGAGTAGAGGTAGCGAGTAGTGAGTAGTGCGTAGTGAGTAGTGAGTAGTGAGTAGTGAGTAGTGAGTAGTGATGAATAGAAAGTAGTGGGTAGTGGCAGTGGGTAGTGTGTAGTGAGTAGCGAGTAGGGAGTAGCGAGTAGTGGGTAGTGAGGAGCGAGCAGGGCGTAATGAGTAGTGAGTAGAGAGTAGTCAGTAGTGAGTAGTGGCTAGTGATTAGTGAGTAACGACCAGGGAGTAGCGAGTAGTGAGTAGTGAGGAGTAGAGAGTAGGGAGTAGTGATCACTGAATAGTAAGAAGTAGTGGGTAGCGAATGGTGGGTACTGAGTAGCGATTAGTGAGTAGTGAGTAGTGGGTAGTGAGTAGTGACTAGTGACTAGTGACCTGTGATTAGTGACAAGAGACTATGTAGTGAGTATTGAGTAGCGAGTATGGGAGTAGCGAGTACTGAGTACTGTGTACCTGGGAGTAGGGAGTACTGAGTAGTGGGTAGTGAGTAGTGATGTGTGGGCAATGAGTAGTGAGTAGCGAGTAGTGGATTAGTGGGTAGTGGGTAATGAGTAGCGATTAGTGGTTAGTGAGTAGGGAGTAGGGATTAGTGTTTAGTGAGTAGTGAGTATTGAGTAGTGGGTAGTGAGGAGTGAGTAGTGAGTAGTGAGTAGGGAGGAGGGAGGGAGTGGTGAGTAGGGAGTAGTGACAGGCGAGTAGTGGGTGGTGGGTAGTGAGTAGTGGATAGCGTGAAGTGAGTAGTGAGTAGGGGGTAGTGACAAGTGAGTAGCGAATAGCGAATAGTCAGTAGTGGGTAGTGAGGAATGAGTAGTGAGTGCTCTTTGGGGCTGGGGTTAGTGGTGGGGTTTAGGGTTTAGGGTTTTGGGTTAGGGTGATGACTAGGGGTAGGGGTGGCGGACGTCGGGTTCCGGAGTCAGGGGGGCGGCGTGGCGAAAGGGGGGGAGAGAGGGGGGGGTTTGGGACCCCCCCCCCTTTTGAGAGAGGGGGGGGGGGGGGTTCCCGACGACGGAGGGAAAGGGGGGGGGTCCCCGACGACGGATCGGGGAAGGGGGGGGGGTCCCCGACGACGGATCGGTGGAGGGGGGGGGGGGGGTGTCCCCCCCCCCCCGCCCCCCGCTGGGCAGATCCAGCGGCGCACCCTCCGTAACAAGTGCGGTCGATTACCGGGATTGTCGCGCGCAGGCTGCCCGCGTGAGTTCGTGGGTGGGCGCTTGGCGCGTTCGCATGCGTGAGCCATCGCGCAACATAGCGCTGCATTCGCGCATAAGACTCCCTTCTCGTTCTGCGCCGCTCGTCAGAAACTTTCCTGGTGGAGATGCTCAAGAGCCAAGAGAGCTCCTGGAGGCACTGGCCCGGAGGCTGCGTGCGATTGGGAAGCCATTTGCGATAGCGGGGGACTGGAACGTGGAGCCGCACGAGCTGGCCGCCAGCCCCTTCGTGCAGCAGGTCGAGGGCACCATCGTGGCACCTGCGGAGGGCACGTGCGAGCCCGCGACGCGCGTGCTGGACTATTTCATCGTCTCCCCGCACTTCCGTAGGGCGAAGGCCACGGTCTGGGGCGGCTGGCCCACGACGCCGCACTTGCCTGTGTGCCTGGAGATCCACGGGGACATGGTGGACAGCTGGGTGCAGGTGCCGTGCGGACCGCGGGCCTTCCCCACCCCGCAGTCGCAGGGATGCTGCAGCAAGGACTACAGCGAGGATCGGCGAACGGCTCGCGAGTGCGTCGCGGCCGCTGGGTCCGCAGACGCGGGTTGGAGAGCTTTCCTCGAGTGCGCGGAGCGTCAGCTGGTGGACGCGTGTGAGCTCACGGGCGACACTGACGGTAACTTTGGGCGCGGCGATGGCGTGGCCTTCAGGTGGAAGAACGAGTGCACGCCGCCGCCGCCACGGTTCCCAAAAGCGTCTGCCGAGGCCATATGGTGCAAGCAGGTGGGCCTGGGGCTGCGGAGGGCCTTCGCGCTCGCCAGAAGAGAGGGTGGAGGAGGTACGCTTTCGTCCACGGGGGCAGCTTCCTGAGCTTCGATTGCGTCTTCACCTACATCGTCGGCGACGGTTGCACGGCCTGGTGCCAGTGCTTGCGCCGAGAGCGCGACTGTCACGGTTTCCGCCGGCCTGTCTTGGCGGCGACCTGGCTCACCCGCACGTGGCGAGAGCGGCCTCGACACGGAACGGCCGCCTGGGCTTCAGGGCCCCAGCTCCGATGTCGTCGGTGGATGCGCGCCGCAGCGCATCCAAGGGCTCCGGCAATTTGCCAGGCTCGCGCGATCCGCACCGCTGCGGAGACCCTGGGGCGCTGCGCTACAGCCGCTCGCCGCCGAAGCGGCGCGGCCGCCGCTCGATATCGGGCAGGCTGCTGGCGCCACCGTGCTGGACCTGGCGGGCAAGCTTCTCGAGCGGGACCAGCAGCAGGGCTGGAAGAACGCGTCCGCGCGGTTCGACGCGCAGGGCCATGGCAGCGCGGGCGGCTTCCACCGGTGGACCACGGAGCCCGAAGGCTGGCAGGCCAGCCCCACAGCGGCTGACGGGACCTGCTTGGTCGCATGGATGCGGTGAAGGCGCTGCTCGTCGAGTGGCGAGGGTACTGGAACCACGGGCAGCCCCATGAGGAGCTCCATTGGCCCGCCGATTTGGGCGAGAGGCCACCCCGGGCGACCGTGGGCGAGATGCGGGCCACGCTGCGGAGCTTCCGCGAGCACACGGGTGTGACGGTCGAAAACTTCACCCGAGGCTATTTCTGGCCCTGGACGACATCGGGATTGAGTGCCTGATCGACGTCATCTGCCTCGTGGAGGAAAAGGCGCCCTGGCCCGCCTTCCTGACCAAGATGGTCTTCGTGCCCAAGCGGGAGTGCGGGGTGAGGCCGATCGCGCTCGTCGCCGCGTTGGCCCGCGCCCACGCCCGCTCGAGGCGGCCGTTTGCCCGGGCGCGGGAGCAGGCCAACGAGCGGCCGCACTGGCGGGCCACATCGGGACGTTCGTGCGAGCGGGCGGCGTGGCAACAGGCCGCATGGGCCGAGTGGGCCGTCGGGCGACAGGAGGCGTTTTCGCTCGAGGAGTGGGAAGCCGCCGCGCTGCCCCTCGACCTCTGGCAGGCACACGAGCAGGTGCTCCACCTTCGCCTTCTGCAGGCAGCGGTGCGGTACAAGTACCCGCTCTGGCTACTAGAGCTGTCCGTCGAGCTGCACAGGCCCCCGCGGGCGCTGGCCCCGGCAGGCGCCACGTCGGAGGCCATCTCGGTGGAGCAGACGATATTGGCAGGGCGCGGGTTCGCGACCACGCTCTTGAAGCTTCAGCTTCTCGAGCCCCTCGACAGGATGCGCATGGCGGCCAGGGGCCTCGAGGCCGCCGTCGTGGTCGACGACGCGGCGCTGTCGCGCCGCGGCGGCAGGCGCGCAATCTCGCATGAGATCGCCACGGGTGCCCAGGTGCTCCAGCATGGCCTCCAGGGTGTCGGGTTGCAAATCGCCCTCAAGAAGTCCCAGGTGGCGGCTTCGTCCGCGGACCTCAGGGCGGAGCTTCAGAAGCAGCTGCAGTGCGTCGGCGCGCAGGCAGAGCAGCGCGCGCGGAACCTCGGAGTCGATTTCGGCTGCGGGATGAAGCGGCCGCGAGGCGTGCTCAAGGATAGGCCCAAGCGCGCCCGCGCCCGAGTGCCAAGGTCACTTCGGATTCTGGGCGCGGCCAGCCGCCGCCGGGCGGCGAAGGTCGTCAAGCGCAGCCTCGAAGCCAGTTGTACCCACGACATGTGCGTGACCGGCGCCACTGACCAGGAGTTGGACTCGCTGCGCAGCAGTGCCTTCAACGCGACGGAGCCCAGAGTCGGCGGAATGTCCAAGACCATGAGCCCGGCGCTGATGGGCGGCCGCGACTTCGATCCCATACATAGGTGTAGCAGGGACTTGGTCGTCGCTTTGCACCGCGCGCTCTGGGAAGGGTGGCTGCCTGAGCAGGTCTTGCAGGCCGGCTTCGCGGCTGAACTGGCGCGGGCCCAGGTGCGCGGGCCCCTCGGCGCTGCCATCACGACGCTGAATCGGCGAGGCTGGAAGATGGAAGGCCTGGGCTGTTGGACAACCCCAGCCGAGCATTGAATGCTGTACGCTGCAGCACGCGCCATGGGCGACGAGGAAGCTCGCGGCGCAGTCCGCGGAGCGCTGGCAGTCGTCGAAGGCGCTCGAGCGGGCCGGGTTGCCGCAGGGCGCCCTGCCCTTCCGGCAGCTCCGCAGATGGACGAGCGTCGGGAAGGGGTCGGCGGCCGATGCCATGCGATGGCCACCGCTCGCCGACAAGGAGAAGGGCTACGCGCGGTGGATGGTCAGTGGCTCAATGAGCGCAGGCACGCGGCGCGGCCTTGCCTCGCGCGGATCCCCCTGTGCTCGAGGTGCGGGGCCGCGCCCGGCACGCTCCGGCACCGGCACGTCGAGCGCAGCGACGGCTGGGAGGGCCTCGACCTACCCGCGGCCATGGCGGGGCTGAAGGCGCGCGGCGACAGCGACGCGGCGCGGGCGCTGGCGGGCACGCTGCCCCTGGCCGAGCCGCAGCACCGCTGGGCGCCCAGCTGCGGAGACGTCTTTGTGCGATGTTCGATGGCTGGTAGGCGGCGGCGACCCGTTCCTGGGCGGCGAGGCGCTCGTGGACGGCTCCGCCTTCGACGCAGAGGCAGCCGACCTGACCGCGGCAGGATGCGCGGTCATCGCGTTGCCGCCAGGGCCGGAGTAGGCCGACCCGGGGCCACGCTCGGCCAACAAGGCATTGGTAGCTGGGCTGCACCGGCGATCTGCTGGCTATCCTGTTGGCGCTGCGGCACTCGATGCCGCCGTTGGTGGTCCACTGCGACTCGGCCCACGTCGTCAAAGGGCCCCACGAGCGCGGGCCGTCGGCGACCTACAGCGCGGCCAGCAGCTGGGCGCATACATGGAGGAGGGCGCCAGGCAATCCTGTCCGTGACGCAGCACGACGTCGCGTAGCGTGCCGGGCGAGCGCATTGTTTGCGATGCTGCCTTTCCAGCTCCCTCGACAGCGCGGCTGCGTTCTGGAGCTCCCCTTGCAACGCGCGGCCGGGGGCTTCGGTGCGTAGCAGCGCGGCCCCGCCGGAGGGCCGCGCCTCGTCTGCCGCTGCGGCGCTGGCCCCGGCAGCTGCGGCGGCAGCGGCCGGGGGCGACCTCGAGCTTTTCGACGTGCTTGGAGTCGGCGAAGCTGCCGTTGACGACCGAGGGCGCGCCATCAGGATTGCCGTCGGATATTGTTTGTCCGCGAAGTGCGGAGGTTTCTCCAGAGATGAGCAGGGGCGACGCAAACTCCTGGGAGCCCAGTGCACGGGGCGATTCGGCAGCAGGGACGCAACAGGTCGTCTAGAGGCCGCTGGCCGCGCACGTTTGCGCTGGATCACAAGGATCCTGGAGGGGCGCCATCCCACAGAGGCTGGCCGCAAGTTGCGGGCGACTTGCCCGATCTGACCTGCTCGGCAGCCGAGCAGTGCCCGAGGCAAAAACAAAAGCCAGGAGAGGGAGATGGGGGCAGGGAAGACGAAGCCAGCCCATTCACAGAGCCTCGTGCAGAGGCCGCCCTGACCCCTCCCACCCTCCCACCCAGGCACACATCCTTTTCTCCCCTCTCCCTCCCCACCCCCTCCTTCTCTTCCCGCATCCTCCTATTCGCCCCTCCGCCCTCGAACAACCTAGCGGTCACTGACCCCCGCGCAGCCGAGTAGAATTCCACAAACACGTTATCATCATTCCTTGTTTCCCCTCTTCCTTCTTCCCTTCATCCTACTTATCCCATCTCCCCCTCACTCCACCTCAAACGCCCCCTTCTCCCTATGTGAAACTCCATAACCCCCTTTCCTCATCACACTTCCCCGCTTTACCTTGATGATTATGCAAGCCCTATCCTCCTCCGCCTCGTCATCATTGCAATCAGACTCGAGGTCCTCATCCTCAACCACCATCCTCACTTTCACCACCAACATCCCCATCGCCGCCACCGCAACAACATCAGCAGCAGCATCATCATAATCATCATCACCAGCACCACCATCAACCTCACCACCATCAACATCATCAGCATCATCATAATAAGCATCGTCACCCGCACAATCATCATCACCAGCATCGTCATCAGCATCAGCAGCATTACCATCATTATCCGCATCATTAAAATGATCATGATCAGCATCATCATCATAATCTACAGCATCACCATCATTAGCAGCATCGTCATCAGCATCACCTTCAACAACAGTAACAACATAAACATCCTCATCATCAGCAGCAGCAGCAACATCATCACCATCATCAACAACATCAACCTCATGACCGTCGCCACCACCATCATCAACAGCATCATCACCAACATCCTCTCCATTTCCATCTTTATCTCTGTCATCATCATCAGCCTCCTCGTCTGCAGAATCTGCCGCCTGGCCTTCTCCAGCGGATGCCCTGACCAGTTTGCTTTGTCCGAGCTTGGGTTCGATTGCCCGTCCGAGCCCGGCCGCCGCGACGGGGCAGGGGGAGAGAAGGACGAGAAGACGTAGAGGAGAAAGACTGGGAGGGACACACGGAGGAGGAGGAGGAGGAGGAGGAGGAGGAGGAGGGAGGAGGGAGGAGGAGGAGGGCATATGGAGGAAGGAGGGAAAGGAAGGATGGTGGAAGGTGGAGGAACGAGGAGGATCGAGGGAGGGGTGCGGGGAAATGGCGAGGAAGGGGGGCAGAGAAAAATGGGAGGAAGAGGCGAAAGACTCGGCGAAAGGAGGCATGATAGCGAGGAGTCGTGGTATGGGAGAGTGGGGGGGAGGATATATGAGGAGGTGTGAGGCGGCAGGCCCGTCGGAGGGGCAAAAAGAAGTGAGTGGAGGAGGAAGGACGAGAAGGGATTAGAGAGAGAAGTATGGAGGAGGAGGAGGAGGAGGAGGAGGAGGAGGAGGAGGAGTAAAAGGAGGGGGAGGGGGGGAGGCGGAGGAGAGGGAAAAGGGGGAGGAGAGGGGAAAGGGTGAGGAAGCAACACGGAAGCACGTGTCGTCGAGCGGATTCTGATTGCCGCCGTCCCGATCGAGGCTTCACCTGCAGCGCGCGCTGGCACTGGTCAAATTTTCTTGCACTGTCGCGTGCTGGGGGCGTTAGGCTCCTGGCGCGTGCCTAGTGTGTGCCCCCGTCCATTTCCTCGTTCCCCGTGTCTTTTTCCTCCCCCACTCCCTCCTCCCTCCTCCTCCTCCCCCCTCCTCCTCCTCTTCCTCCTCTTCCTCGCCTCTCCCTCCTCCTCCCTTCTCTTCGTTTCTCCTCCCTCCTCCTCGGGCGAGGTGGTTTCACTGCGTCGGCCGCGCGCGCGGCCCCCCTGCGGCGGTCGCGGGCGGGGCAGGGCGCCGGCCCATCGTGCGATAACCCCCAACGTTGCGTCGCGACGGCCCTCTTGAGGGCTCGCTTCCAGCCTTGGCACCGTCGGATGCGGCGACGGCGTGCCGAGGCGACAGGGAGACTGCGAGTATTTCGAGACCAGCAGCTGCTTCGAGAGCATCACGGCAGCGGCAGCGGGACAGCGCGCGCAGTGTGCGATTCACCCTCGGCAGCGGCTTGGAGGAAATGGGCAACGACGACGACGCAGACCCAGGGAAGCCAAGCTGGCGCAGCTCATCCGCCTGATCCGCCCAGCAAGGACGAGAACGGGGTGCGCTAGTAACAGACAGGAGCAACTCGATGCACTACGGAACGCGCGTCGATAGGGGGCCCTTGTTCAGAGGATGTTGCGACGGTGGCTCAAGACGACGCCGCCGTGGCACTCCAGCGTGCAGTGGAAGAGGCTGACGCACTCCAACGGGCGCCCGAGGTCAACCAGGAACGCGCGGCCGCCCGATCCACCGGATACGACGAGGCGATGGCGGCGCACGCCAAGGCGGCGCAGACGCTGGCAGACCAAGGGGCGGGGCCGCAGCATGAGCAGGCGCGCTCGTCCGCCAAGCTCTCCACGGCGTCGCTGTTGGTAGAAAAGATTTCGAACTGGACGACAGCGCCCTGCGCCCTGTTAGGATTGGAGATGCTGAACGACGACGAGGCTCAGGGGTCCGGCCGAGAAGAAGCGGCCAAGCGCAGGACGTAGCTCCAGCAGAAGTTCAAAAAGATGACGCAGCAGGTCCTCAGGCAGTTCGCACCAGAGAGGGCTCTCAAGGACCGCCTCATGACCGAGAAGCGCAAGACAGATTCGCACGACGAATTCGGCGCCGGCGCGGTGCCCGGCGGCGCTGGCGAAGGCGGACAAGGTCCAGCGGGGCAGGCAGAGGCCCCGCATGCGGGGCGGTGGCAACATCCAGCGGCACGAGTGGCGGCGCGGCCCAGGACGACAAGCCAGGCGATGTTAAGGCCGACGCGCGGGCGAAGTTGGCGGCAGCGACTAGGGGCAGTGGTCGCGGCGCCGGGCCTCGCGGCTCGACTGGGCCACCGCCTCGGCCGCTCTGGCGCGCGAGCAGCACCGGAACCCCGGCCAGTTCTGGCGGGGGGCCCCTTCGCGGGCCACGACGACGAGCACGAGGTGCGGTGCTGATACCAACCGGCCACGTGATGGCGATGATCAGGATGGCACTTGCGGGGGCGGCGGGTTCCGCCAGCAGAAGCAGCGGTCCATTTCGACCTGGTCGGCGACGCATTCCACGGCGGGCCCTGGGCCAGTCGCGGGCGATTATTTCCAGACGGATGGGATCAACACCTCCGGGGCGACAGGGGGAGCACCGTTACGGCGCAGCCGTGCGAGGCACCGACAGGCTCGAGGACTACGTCGCGGACGCCGCGCAGGATGGCGAGCAGGCGCCGCCGAGCCCTCAGGGCCTTCGACTACCGCGCGCGCGCCAGACAAGACAGAGGCGCGGCATGCTTCGGAGATGGCGACTGGCACCGCGAAGAAGCAGCTGAACGGCGCCGCCGCTCGCAATTGCGGCCGATCGCGCAGGGCCACGGCGGCCGCGTCGACGGGCTCGAGGACACGCGCGCCCCCGAGGACGTCCAGGCGGCGCCGATCCGGGAGAACCACCTCGAGGAGCGGGGGGTCGAGTCGGCGTTGAAGGCGGCGAAAGCCCCGGGCTGGAAGGCGGGCCCGCGCCCCGCCGGGCGCGCGGGCAATGGGGGTCGGACGACGGGCGGCGCGGGAGTTCTGGCTCGGTCGCACGATGCACTCCGACGCTTGCTGTTCGACCGCGATGGCACCCGCGCAATCGGCAATTCGCGGCAGGGTTTCTGGATTGCAGATCTCGGGCCGACGGAGGTTCCTGTGCTATCTTCTCTCCTGCCCCCGCGCCAGCGTGGACTTGTAGGGCGTCAATTTGGACATCCTCTATCAGACAGGTAGAGTGTCGCTTACGTCGGGGCCCATTCACCCCGGGAGGTGACTGGGGAAGCCCCCCCGAGCCCCCGTGCTTTTCGCGTTGGCCCAAGTCGGCGATGGCGGCATAGTGGCGGCCCCTGGCCAAGCCACGTGCCGCGCGGGCAGCGGCGCGAGGTGGTCGATGATTTCTGCGCACGGCATGACCTCGCAGGGCGCGCTGCCAAGACGCATGACGGCGTGCTAGCTAGCCGCGCCGCGCAACGGGGCACTTCCCGACGTCGGTGTTCAACGGGTTCCGCCCACAGCGCAGAAGATCTACACAGTCAAGCCTTCCCCGTCGAGACAGCTCAATAGGCCATTGCTTCCCAGACCGAGCCAGTCACAGGCGCAGGCAGCCGTGGAGACCTGGACTC